AAAAAAAAAAAAAAAAAAAAAAAAAAAAAAAAAAAAAAAAACAAATAAATAAAACCTTTATGCCAAAATTTTAGATTACCGCCCAACAACAATTAACAAGTATAAGTAAGTAAACATTATCATCGGCATAACCATAATCATGTCCATGACAATGGAGAGAGTATATCGTTAACTAATTAACAAAAATTAAATCAAAATGTAAAAAGTGTTTAGTAATTGACATCGACAGGTTTAATTGATGATGAGAGATTTTTTATTTTTTAATTGCAATGAAGCGACAAAATAATACGACAACAAAAAATGTGGAAAAAGATAACATTTCTTCAATTCAATTCTTTCATGGGCAAATTTTGTAGGAAATTTTTGGCCAATAATCAATAAATTGATTATGGAATGCATTTCATTGCATAATGATAGCAACTGTAATAACAGAAAAAAAAAAAATAACAAAAAAAAAAAAAAAATGAAAACATTTACGAGGTTTGTTAAAAAGTATAAAGTGTTTCAAGGTTCGTTGATATTGAATAAGGGACAGAATACAATTCGATCTAATCAAGATTGATTAAGATTAATCAGCCTAGGTCAACGTAAGACAGGCTAGCCGGGCAAGGAAGATTAACGCTTGAGAGTGTTAAGATTAGCTAGGCAATGCCGACGAAATACGAATGGCCAGCTATCCAACAGATTACGACTGACCACGGCCAGTCACGGCAGACTAACGTTAGAAAGTCAACACAGGTGAAATCAAGTCGACGCACGAATATTGGATACGAAAATGTATCCAATTTACAGTAAGACTGGCCAGCTATGTGAGCCTAAGGCTATGGTCATTAAAACTAAGCCACCGGATTAAATTTACTATGCAGCAAATTAAGACTGACCACGGCCAGCCACGGTAGACTAACGTTAGAAAGTCAAGACAGGTGAAGTCAAGTCGACGCACGAACATTGGATACGAAAATCTATCCAATTTACAGCAAGACTGGCCAGCTATGTGCCAGGTAAGAAGAATCGAAGGCGAGAGGAAGAAGATAAACAGATTGCTGAATCACATCCGAAATGTTATATAATCGAATAATCTATTATCAAGAAAGCAAAGATTTCTTACACTTAGGAAGTACCAGAAAATGTGTTACATCACTTGACTCACACCAGGCAATTGCTTTATTGAATACTTTTGACTTTAAAGATGTCGCAACGAAATTTGTTTCAATATGATCGCATTTCATGGGGCCGCAATGATACATTGTTATGAGTTCCGCCAAACGTGCGACCAGAAATGGCTTGCTGCGGTTTCTCCCTACTTTGATGAGAATTGAAAAGGGTCTCGAAAATTCGCCATTTGATTTATTGAATCTTTCGAGTAAATTAAACAATTTTATATCCGATTTCCGGATTCAAACATTAGATATGGCTAAAAAAAAAAATAAATAAATAAAAAAAAAACATTTTTTATTATTAAATTTACAGAACAGCGAAAGTTTAAGAAGCTAGGACTTTTTTTTTAACAAACCTCGTTAATTTTTTTGCAAAGTGACACCATGTGAGAAATACCGCCTGAAAAAAAGAAACCAAACGGATGACATGCAAAACGCAACAACACAAAATGTTACATAAAACAAATACTTTTTTTGGAAATTAAATGAAATTTTTGCAAAAAGAAGAAAAAAAAGAGAAAAAAAAAAAAAAAAATTGAAAATAAAACCACTTCATATGGAACCCATAGATATACAGTTGAGCCAGAAACAAATGCAATTTCTCTACAAAGTCAAATCTATTCGATTTTTTATTCCAAATGTTGAAACGCTCAGACCGATAGCAGTATCTTCACGTTGTTTTAAATAAGATACGATTTTTATACTATCTCCGTATGTAACTGTTTGATGAATTGTGGGCGTACCTTGAGTGACCGCATGAAGTATTTGTAACAAGTTTTAGATTTTATACGCAAATGACGAATGGTAACATGGTTGCCTATTGGAAATCCCAAATTTGCAGCAAAAGTGATTTAGCTGCAATTCTACTCTGGCAGAAAGTACGTTTGCGAATCGTTCGCATTTTCGTTAACTATTTCAGATTATTTCATTAAATATGGTCGCAATCATTTTGAAATCTTGAATTCCTCTTGGAAAAATTCTGGAAAATATTCATATTTTCAGCTATGAATGCGTTGATCCGCTCGCCGGGTCTACCTCTATTAGAATATCACTTATTTGCAGCGCAACTATTTGTTCCAAGAAGTTCCTCGGCGAGGAATACTTCACACAAGTATGAAGAAATTGAAAAATGTTTCGTTTTGAAACGGAATGGTATGGAATAAAATAGAATAAATTTAACATTAGAGGAAAGTTGCAGTAGTTCTTTCCCCATCTATGTACCATATGCGTATATGCGGGTCGAAATGTATGTTGGTTTTTCTTTTTTTTTTTTTTCTTTTCTTTTTATTTTCTACAAAATATGCAAAAAATGTTATGCTGATCATCTCTCTGAAGACGTTGGACCAAACACAAAAACTGATTCGTAGATAAACAAGAAAAAAAAAAAATTATATCTTTTTTTTTTTTTTTTTTTTTTTTGTAGGACAAAATACCCTAAATTTCCAATCGTTGTTCTTGGAACGTTGCTTTTCGCCATCACCAGCCAGCTAAACATATAAAAAATTAAATGAAAAAATTATTCATTATCTAGAAAAACGAGTAAACATCTTAAAGAAAAAACTATATTTAAAAAAAAAATATTTCAACATTTTTGAGTTCTTTTTTTTTTTTGCTTAACGATTAAATAAAATATCTTTATCCACATTTTTTTTTTTGTCGATTGTTTAACATTTTAATTGTATTGGAAACGAATTTTCGTAAAAGTTTTCAAAATGCAAAATCATGAAAAGAAAACAAAAGGAAAAAATTGCTTTATTCCATAAAATAAAATCAGAGCAGCCAGTAAATAATAGTTAAAATTTAGTGTAATTGGTTTAAAAAATAAGATTTTTTCGTTTTTTTTGCTTTTTCTAAAAAATATGTTTTTGTTTTTTTTTTTTTTTTTTAAATTTTTGAAAATTACCTTGTCTTTCTTGTCCTGCCTAGCATAGGGGAAGCAAGGAATCACAGCTGTTACACGGGATGCTGATGCAATTTTGCATGCATTAATCATAATCAGCAACTCCATCAAATTGTCATTTATCTCACCGGAACCAGATTGGACGATGTAAACATCTTCGCCACGGACTGATTCATTGATTTCAACACTGAAAGACAAAATAATTAAATTAAACAAGAATGGAGTGACACAAGTACAATGCATATTAAATTTATGATAGTGATTGGCTTGAGAAGGAAGCAAGGAGGCAAAAATTTCCGTAATCGGGAATCGAGCGGTTAACTCATAAATCGCAAAACATTTTTGCTCCCCCTAAGAAATTTCAAAAGCGTTCCCTTTGTCTCTCATTTGGCTCCAATCTGGTGCAACAGTAATGTGTATTAGTTTGCAGACGAATCTTGAATATCCACGGGACTAAAAAGGTTGCTGTCTGTGGATCTCAGTTCGATCATCACTAGCCGTCTCTTTCCGCTTTCGAAGTCCTCTTTGTCATTTTCTATAGCTGATTTCTTTTGTCACCTTGAAGCGGCATCAAAATAATTTTTTTTTTCAAAAATACACTAAACACTGATACTGAATACTTGGCATGTAACAGGGAAAATGGAATCATCATTCCAAAGATTACATAATGCGGAAAGTGAACTTTGACATAGCCTTCTGGCTTGTCTTCTCTTCTGGCAGTCTTCTCACTCCTATTTCAAATAGAGGCGATAGAGGCGTTACAAAAAGAAAACCAAACACACACTACATATACACTAAATACTGATACTGAATACTTGGCATGTAATAGAGAAAATGGAATCATCATTCCAAAGATTACATAAAGCGGAAAGTGAACTTTGACATAGCCTTCTGGCTTGTCTTGAGTCGTCTGACTTATATTCTATAAAGACGTTACAAAAAGAAAACAAACCGATGTGCTATGGTCTTGAACAGCAAACATGTGAACGGTCCGTCTAAATTCCATGCAAAGTGAATAAAAATAAAAACCCATTAATTTTCCTAAAGTAAAATCAGATCTGCGTCTTCTCTTTGTTTTTTTTTTTTTTTTTACGCAGTAAAACGCAGCGATCTAGTCCATCATATGTATCTAAAAGAGCCCAAGAGCCTAGTGTTGTGTAGCGAGAAATTTAGTTAGCTTGAAATTTGAGAAATCTTAAGGTTTCCTACGATTAAGATTAAATATTTTATAAACATCATAACATATATAAGTAAAGGACTTATAGTGCACCATTACATAATTAATAAATATTTAAATAATTTGATTTAAAATGATTGATGTTACGAACGGTATAACAAACTTAGTTATGATTAGATGAAAAAAAAATCTATAAATTAATTTCGGGCATTTAGCCAAAAGGTCTATATCATTATAATAACATTTATCTGCCAACCATACATAATAATAATAATGATAATAATATGTAGGGATGTGTTTTAAAAAAACAAAGCACAAAAAAAAAAGAAACATGTGTTGGTGTGTACGTATACGTAAAAATATCTCTCGAAAGATATGCAAAATACAAGCGAACACCTATGTAACTCACTATAAGATCAGAAGGCAAACATTGCCACGCACATAATAGAAAAATATTTCATGAGACACTTTCGCTTTTAATCTTTATTTGCCGGTTTGCTTGGCATTCAACATACGTATGTACGTACGTACTACGTACTACAATGATTCTTATACTTTTGATTATAATTTACCCTCGTTTCACTTCACGTTTTCTCAGCAAGATTGCACTCAACGCATTTGCCTATGTAGACATACATAAAGCATACATATCTTTACGTTCGTGTCTGCTTGTCTGTCATGTTGTCTGTTCCTCGGCTTGTTTGTCATTTTCCACTAGTTTTGCATTCGAAACTGAAAAATTGCATTATTATTGACAACAAGAACAAAAACAAAAAAACTTTGACGTCATTTGTTGAAGGCTATATAATTTTCTTCTTATATATATTATATATATACATATATGTAAAATTCATGAACACTACCGATAATCGATATTTGGTGAAAAGTTCTTCTGTTCTTGTGTTTGCGGCAAGTAAGTACAAATTGCAACATGAACATGTAACAGTAAATTGATAAAACGTTTACCTGACACATTCCCTTACTCATCACATCGATCAAACAAAAATGTGGACATTTGATTTAAAAAGAAAAAAAAAAAAAAAAAAAAAAAAAAAAAAAACGA